CCCAGCTGCGTGAGTGACAGCTGGCTCTGCCTATCTAGAGGCAGAGCCAGCTGTACCCGCCCCCTCCCCCATCCGTTCCGCCAGTCAGCGCTGGCAGATCGGAGCGGGGAGAGGGGAATCCAGCCCCTCCCCCTGTCACGGCAGAGAGCCGTGACAGGATCGAGAGGTGAGGGAACCCGGTATGTGTTCCCTCACCTCCCGATCTACTGAGCCGACCTGTGACAGTCTCATTGTCACAGGTTGGCTTAGAACTATGAGGTGAGTGGAAATCACTCATCTCATAGTTCTCCTTTAAGGGCAGATTAATGACGCGGCACCCAGGTTCCTGATTGGCGCAGTAGCCGGCTCCATGCTCCCTTGTCACTAGGTAATGAGGGAGCATAAAGCTGACTTCCCGGCCAATCAGAAAACCGGGCGTTGCGTCATTACACAGCGCCTGGCTTCCTGATTGGCCAGCTTCCCGACCAATCAGGAAGCGAGTCATTATACGCTGCCCGGGTTCTTGATTGGCCGGAAAGCCGACTCCATGCTCCCTCGTCATTTGTGACGAGGGAGCATGGAGTTGGCTTCCCGGCCAATCAGGAAGTCGGGCAGCGTGTAATTACTCGCTCCCAGCTTCATGATACTGGAATTGTCGGGCTAGGCATCGGAACATTTGCGCGAGTACGAGTTCTCGCCCCAAATACTCTGCACCGATACCGATACTAGTATCGGTATCGGTGCATCTGTAATTTTTGCCCTTCTAAAGCAGGAAGTCAATGCTCTGCAAGTGTAAGTATTTCAAAATCACAGCATTTTACACCTGAAATGTCTATGTTATTATTAATCATCCTACATAGAGGGATGCATTGGTAGAATTTGATTTTTGAGTGTAAAGGTCCACTTTAAAAGAACATAGTTAATATGAAAGAACTATTAAAGCTCAATCCTAGCCAACACTTCTTTTACATTTTAGATATACTGAGGCAGCCTTTCTCAACCAGTGTTCCATGGAACACTGATCACCAATGCAAAGGGGCAGAAAACCGGGCGTTGCGTCATTACACGGCACCTGGCTTCCTGATTGGCCAGGTTCCCGACCAATCAGGAAGCGAGTCATTACACGCTGCCCGGCTTCCTGATTGGCCGGGAAGCAGACTCCATGCTCCCCGTCACTTATGACGAGGGAGCATGGAGTCGGCTTCCCGGCCAATCAGGAAGTCGGGCAGCGTGTAATGACTCGCTCCAAGCTTCATAATACTGGAATTGTCGGGCTAGGCATCAGAAACATTTGGGCGAGTACGAGTTCTCGCCCAAATACTCGGCACCGATACCGATACTAGTATACCGATAGCATTTTATACCTGACATGTCTATGTTATTATTAATCATCAAACATAGAGGGATGCATTGATAGAATTTGATTTTTGAGTGTAAAGGTCCACTTTAAAAGAAGATAGTTAATATGAAAAAACTATTAAAGCTCAAGCCTAGCCAACACTTCTTTTACATTTTAGATATACTGAGGCAGCCTTTCTCAACCAGTGTTCCATGGAACACTGATCACCAATGCAGAGGGGCATGTCTACACTCGCCACTAATGTTATTGGACACCACAATTTTTACTGTTTACAATTATATTCTGTTTTCATTCATTTAATTTCAAGATTATTACTTTATTAACTACATTTTGTTGTATAGGGCAGGAGGGTCTAAAACTAATCTGTGTCAAGTATGTCAGGCATGCCATATCATGTATTCTTATATTTAGAATGCACTACAATATAGAGATCACACTCATTTACTACAAACTGTAAGTGTATTATTTTTAGCTTGGCTTACCGAAAACAGCCAGGCTTCCTCCGGGGAAAAATGGTTGAGAAAGCCTGGACTAGGGAATGGTTAGAACCTCTGACAGATTTGGCTGTCTGTGTCTTACTGTGTCAAAACATCCATTCCCTGTGATTACAGCAGTACGAAGAACTTCTGTAAGATTTCCCATCACATTCTGTCCATGTGACACATCACCGGAGCAGGAAGTAAGGGGAAAGCTCCCCAATGAGGTCACAGATGGCAGAAAGAACCTACAAAGATTCTAACCCTTCTCCAATCTTACAAAACTGAAACACATGTTTATCTGTGGTTGAGCTTGTTAGAAAATCTGCCCGTGGGCAGGTTCAAACCTTCAGCCTTTGAGCATCTTCAATTCTTAACACTACTTACAGTTATCTAATGTGCTAGAGGAGAGTAATAAGCACCTTAGACAGTAGCAGACACACTTTGTTGCACAATGGAATTTTCCAACTTGCAAGCAGATCCAATCCGTTTCTCTTCTATGTAGAAGTGCAAAGGCTCCAAAGTGCCTTGTGCATGCATCGCAGTCAATGTCAGGTGATTTGCTGATGGTGTTCAGTGTCATGTGGGTGCAAACAATAATCGACCTGAAGTTAGTTTTTGAAGACATGGCATCTATGGCCAGCCCATGTAAATGTTTCATAACCTTGTCAGAGATTACGTTAAAATTCTAGCCCTTAGAAAAGAGGTTTATTTTTTCATGGCTCTCATATTTTTTTAATCCTATCAAATGATAGGATTAAACAGCTGTTTAATACCTCAATGTTTATATTCAACTACATATTTATCAATTTTATTTAATGAAGCTCTTACACAAAGATGGACTGGAATTCAAGACATTGCTTTCCATCTGAAGCAATGCTTACCCTTCAGGTGTATCTATAGCCAAAACATTTTTAGTTTTGGATAACATGTGGAAGAGTTAGTTCTGAATTCTGTCTGTGTCCCTGGGATATTCACTCTCTCTTTTTATCCTGGTGACCATCAATACTGGAATAGAAAAGTTGACGGTGGTGTTTTGTTTGGCCTATAAATACACTTTAATTGATATGCCTTTAACAATATTTTTATTGTACCTTTTACAATATCCTTTGGCTTCCAACATTCTTAGGGCTCAATATTGAAATGTAACAGATATAATTTAATTAATCTCTATTCACTGCAGCAGAGAAATGTGCAGTGAGATACGCAGACATGAGGTGAGGGGTGAAATAATTATGCATTATTATAATTATTCAGTGCACCTCAATCCACCACAATTTAGCATTGTGGTGTAAACACGGCACATAGAAAACAATTGTTTTCCATGTGCCCTTGTGTTAGGGCCTGTGTTGACCTGTGCAGAAATATGCATGTTACTGCACTTAGTGTGAAGGAGACCTAAATATACCAGGCATCAGGCCCTGATCTGGCTGCAGTGGTGGCACCTTAAAAAGATTTTGGTGATTCTAAAACCACAGTTTAGAGCGTGGCACACTTCATTTCAGCATCTTGATTCTGTCCCATAGAATCTGGTTGACAGCATATGTTCCGGTCTCATGTCAATTTTGTTTGCAGAACAAATTTTCCAGTGTCATGTGACTACATCACGTTACCAACTTTACCCTCTACATCCCTTCTCCTAGGCTGCCACTTATGAAATAGGAAGCAAACCAGCAAAATTACATGAACTGATTCAAGGAGATGAGTTTTTGGTACTTTCACAATTTATTTTCATTCATGAATGTTTTCAATGCATATATGGAGTGGTTGGGGGGTTCTCTGCTGTACTATATCTTTATGCTGGTGCCTAGACTTTTACTTGTTTTGAAGTTTACTGGTAGCCCTCTCCCTGGCCCTCTCAACCCACACACAGCTGGTTCCCCACCCTTGCAGGTCAGTTCTTACAACCTGCAATGTCTGCAGCCTCTCACAATGTTTCCTGCTTGACCAGTAAAAGTCTAGTGTCAGACTGCTCGCACCTGGGAACAAATGGCTTAAATAGGACATTGCTCCAGCTATACAGGCTTGCCCCATTTCAGGTCTATGGGACATTACTGCACAAGCAAAAGCAACTTGGTACAAGATCTTTACCAGCAGTGCTGCAGACAGCATGAGAGGCCACAGCCATCAGAAGAGGTAAGTAACAACCTTCGGAAGTACATTATGTGTTAAAAGGGCTAAAGAGTGGGCCTGGGGACCTTTTTGTTCCAACATTAACTTATAAATAAAATCTGCAACATTTAAAAGAATTTACTAATCAGATTATATTCTTTTTCAGTAGAGTTTGTAAAAGACAAAGAAATCAATGTAGCTGTCCTAGGACCCTTTTGCATTGGTGCATTGCTTTTCAAGTTTGTGTTAAATTGTAATTAGAAAAATAACAATTAATAAGGTGGGACTAACTTTCAACATGCTGATTCTTACTGCAGAATTTCTTTTCAATTTTGTCTACCAAATCAGTCCTAAAAGGTTGGGTCAGCAAAGTATAACCTGTGTGTTCTGAAGAGAAAAGATAATGATTAAAAATCTCTCTACACAAATGTGGCCATATAGCTGGTACTTTAATGGACTGGAAAATAAAAAAGGGGAATTGATGTCAATGGTACTAATAGGGTGCAAATGCAACTACAGGACTGTCATGGTTTCTAGTGAAAAACAGTCACATATGGCTGAATGGTGGAGAAATGAAAGAAAACCTGTGCTAAGCTTTTAAAAGACAAACACAATGAGAGTATATAACAGCCACACTAGGGTGCCTATCCCTACCTTAAGTCAGATCTTAACACAATGAATAAAATCTCATATAAGCTTTAACATGTTAGTAGATTTTAGAAGTTATTATTTTTTGTTATATGTAATACATTTTTTTAATATGTAGGTTTTATTTAAACTAATACCTGGTGACTCTGCCATGGAGGACCTGGTGCAGGTAATTCCTGTTTTGGGGTGATAACTGCCTCCCAGTTGTGCTCCTCTTTTGTTACCCTGTCACATGTGACCCTGATAGAGACTATAAGTGGCCATGCCAACACATTGCTCAGGCATGGCCACCATTATCACTCAGTAAGTAGATCCCAATATACTTACGATTCACCCAATGCTGGAGAGTGTGCATGTAGATTGGAAATGCAAAAAAAGATTTAAAAAAATAAAAACAAATACAATATTTTATTAAAAATGATTTATATATCCAGTGATTTTGCAAACTGTCTTTGAGTTATGGTTTATATCCAATTTAACAGTACTAGCCTGAAAGGCCAAATGTAGTAGAGGGATATTTTAGTTTGTGTGTTAAACACAGTGACTATGAGTTTGTCTTTAAAATCCCTAGCACAGGTGTATTTTAAGCTTTAGGCTTGACTTTAACATCCAATATTACACATTAACACTAATGCATATTATATACTGCAGGTGGACATTTCAGATGGCAGTATACATCCTAAACAGCTTACTACTTACAAGGAACTTCAAGTGAGATGTATGTGCATTGTGCTTTGTAGGTATAGCAGTCCATGTGTTTAGGACATATGCACCATTCATGCTGCAAATAATAGTTAAGAATTTCTGTATACAGGAAACAAGGGATGACTGAGCAGCTTGGAAAAGACCGACATTCAAATTTTCCAAGAGAAAAACTATCCTTTTAAAAATGATCACATCTGCAGTGGGGAGCCATTTCTCAAGCTCCAAGGCAAATAAAGTTATGCATTTGTGGCTAAATACCCCATGGTAAAATACATTCTGATAAATGTTCACAGCTTGTCTGCGATGGAAAGTTTAGTTCCTTTCCAACTACAGCAGTTATACAGAGATGCATAAATTATAACACGAACTTGTACCATAAGACCTGGTACATGTACGCCTGTAAATCAGCAGTTATTTACAAATGGTTCCAGATTTGGTCACCTACGGCTGCTAACAGTACAAAGACATGCGGCTCCGGCGCATAGCTTCACTTATTAAGTAAGCGGGGCTCAACTCAGGCTCCTCTGTCATTATTACTATATTTTGCCATTCCCCAGTCTGGTTAGATTTTTTTATAGTGTCCACTACACACAGAGCATACAGACAGTCGTCAAATGTAGCTGCCATTGTAAGCGGCCTGCCATCCCATGTTCTCCTGTCTTCCTGGTCTTCAAATGCTTGCCGCACAGCCTGTACCATTTTAATAGTCCCTCTCAGGTAAGGAGAAGGTATATCACTAAAGGCCTTTTCAGGCAAGAGGGAGTTGCTGACAGGTGTAGAATCTTTTAACAGTAATTCTCTCTCCAGTGAGGCGTTCCTTTGTCCATAGAGGTCAGTTCCCAATACCATTAGTCTACCAGCTGATCCAACAACTATAATGTCTTGTTTAAACTCCCCAGGGACATTGAAGTTTAGAGTAACTGTACAGCAGACACCACCTTCCAGAACCATCTGAAATGTACAAAAGTCATCACTGGTTATCTGGCGTATTCCTTTTATATGGTCCGTCTGCTTCACAAATGTCTTCAGAAGTCCGTGGACCTTCACTGCTTTCTGGCTGGTCAAGAACGTCAACAGGTCAATTATGTAGCTACCCACAGAATGCAGTCCACCTCCGCCCATGAGGTCATCACAGCTCCAATTATACTTCTTTCCCAAGAGGCTTCCACTGTGAACCTGTACTTCACACACCTGAAGTTCCCCCACATATCCTTCTTGAATCAGCTGTTTCATCTTTGCAAAAGCAGGGAGAAATCGTAAAACATTTCCCATGATGCTCATCAGCTTCGGGTAATAATGGGCTGCCGACATCATGCGGAAAGCATCAAGAGGCGTTGCAGTTCTGTCACAGATGACATTCTTTCCAATCCCTATAGGACATAAACAAAAAATAATTCAACTGAGATATCAACATGATGTTTCCAGTATACACAAAACAGTGCATATGAATTTCATTAATCCATTTCATGTAAACAGCTATAATGTATTTGCAGCAATGTGCAGCAAATTAGACATTTGTCCAAACAGCAAAGGTAGCTAAGGGTAATATCTTTAATGGCTAACTGAAATGGACATCAATGCACGCTATCAAAATGTCAGATAGGGGTTAACCTCACGTTACAGAGCATTTCAAATATTATTCACATCAAGTGTGGTTTAAAGTGAACCCATGCCATGAAAGGAAGAGTAACAAGTTCACTATAATGCTTCCCTCCCCAGCAGTCCACCTAACTTCTGATTCCTCCCCTGCAACTCCATTCAGCAAGGATAGGAAACCATGTGCAAACTCCAATTTGGAACTTACATAGAGCTCCTTACCCCTGTGACAGGCATGGACCAATCACCAAACATCGGTGTTGTCACAAGAGATAAATATGAATGCAATGGTATGAGAAGCATTAAAGGTTATTGAAAATGCTTTCTTTCTCATCATTTATACAACAGACCAAACACAGAAATTTACATATTTATATACTAAACCCGGTAACCACTACATTTACATTTTGTTACAACATTTTGCAGAATGTAGAGAAATATATATTATCTAAATATGAGAGAAATGAGTCCCGAATCAGCGTTTTTAGTCCTGGGAGAAAAATAAGTGAATGATAGTTTTATTCACAATGATGTTGCTATAATAGTGAAAGTGCTTATATGAGCTCAGGTTAACAGTTAGGAGGTTAGGCTACCTTTGGTAGGTTTAGCTGTAGGGTCAGATCTATGAGTTTGGTTTAGGGGTTAGATTTAAGGGTTAGGTTTAGTGATTAGGCCAATTCATTTTCGAGTCTGATTAATTTCAAAAAGCCCAAAATTGTTTTATTTCCCCCAAAAATGAATATTTTAACCCCTTCGTGACGTGAGAAGTACAGTGTACGTCCCGTCACAAAGTGGCTATATGACTGGCCGCGTACACTATACGTGCCGAGTTATATCAGCCTCTGTAATGCTGGTAACTGATGATTCTCAGCGGTTACCAGTCATTAATTAATACCTCAGTATTGAGGCATTCATTAATGAAATAGTTAAGCTTTTGTAAAAGCTTCTTTCTTTCATTAATGAAAGAATGAAGCCTTTACATTCAGATATGGGTTCGCTAAACAGTGAACCCGTATCTGACAGCTGAAGATAGAAGAGAAGTAGCAGTGACTCACCTCTCTGCTATTCATTTTGACAGCTGTATAGCCTGGCCCGATGTTAAATGATAAATTTCAAGCACTAGATACAAATGTATCTCTGAGTGAAATGTATCAGTTTTGATCGTCTAGGAACGATCAAAGACCTTTAGTGAGATCTGATTCTGACATGCTGTCAGGATCAGTCTCTAAGGTTATTAATAGCTGTTCCTAAGTTTGGAGCAGCCTAATATTAACTAAAAATTAAAAAAGCTAATTTATCATGCAGTCATAGTGACTGCTTGATATAAACTGACAAAAATGTTTGGTTTTTTTTACACTTATTTTTTTTACAAAGTGTAAAAAAAATAAAGTGTACAAAAAATTAGGAAAATAAAACTTTTATATATAAATATATTTTTATACTATAATTATTATTAAAAACATTCTAAAAATAATAATAATAAAAATCAAAACTTCCTGCTGTGGAAGAATCACAAAGCAAAAATTTAAAAAGCGTGTCAGTCATTTAGGAACAGAAACTAAAAACTAGCTCAGTCATGAAGGGGTTAAGCCTAAAAAAAACATGTGTTTTTAAGTAGTTGGCCAGAAAAAGAGCCTTAATAGAGCCTTGGGCTCATGCCTCATAAAGGTCCTGGAGAATTATGGGGGTAAATTATGTGCTGCAATTCCCATGCTCACAGACATAATGTAGAACTAAAGCGATTTATTTTTTTCTTTAGTTTTGGATAGAGTAAGGTGCAGTTACAACCCGTCAGTTTTTCTTTCTTCACCAACCATGTCAATTGGGGAGATTTCTCTTCAATTTCTTTCCCATAGCCACAACAGGAAGTAAGAGTAAATCTCTCCACATTGAGGGAAATTCCTGTTGTCACCAGGGTATCCGCATTGGAAGTGTGGGATTTTCTTTCACTTTCACTCTCAGTGATAATGGTCCAAAAAAAGTTTGGGCTTTAGTTCCACTTTAAGTTACAAAAAAAAAAAAAAATCAGATTTCACCAATAAGAGCAGGTTTGAAACCAGAGAACCTGGTTACTTGCTATGGATAACAGACAGGGGTGTCCCTAGCCTATTTGCCTCCTGAGTCCAGGGGGAGGGGTGCTGGTTGAGGCCATTTTTATTTCAGACACTGACATGATAAAGGTGGTCCTTAATGTACACTTGTTACTTTACAAATAGCTGATTGCTTTGCCTTTCAGACACTAGGTGATGTAGGTCATGTTTATATACTACAAGTTACAGATAGACCTCAAGATTATGAAATATATATCCACAGCAGAATGTCTTATTTTCTAACTCTACCTCAATACACAGGAAAGCAAAGTAACATGTCAAATAGTATAAATATGCGATACTGGCACTATATTAGTCAATGGAGAGTCTCTGCTATAAATATTCTGCTCTCCGAGGAGCGAACATTCTACAAAGGAGTAATAGAGTCATTAGAGACGCTTCAAGTCTTCTAACTCCTCTACAAGGCTTGTTGATGCACACTGCTGGAAACAGCATAATAAATATTTAGCCACTTATAGGGAGATACAGATCTCACATTTGATTAGATACTATACACATACAAGAGATTTGCATCTACTTCCAATATAACACTAAGACACTGGCTATCAGCAATAAATACATTCACTGTGCCCTGTGACTTTATACCATTTTATACCATACTAAAAATGTGAATGAAAACTAGCAGTGTAGGAGAAGAACTGTATTGGGTAGCACCATTTCTTGCTGTAACGCTAATGGTGATTTTCATTTATCATAAACAGAAGCAATGATTTAGATTGCATCTGGCATACCAACTCTTGGTGATGTCTTATACTGTGATACAATGCGACACAATTCATTATTGGCCACCAATGGTCAGAATATCTCTATTTTGAGCAATAAAAACAACAAAAGATTCTGCCATTGTTTACAAGGAAAAGGCTTAGCTATAATATGATATAGAAAGTACACTTTGTATACTGCCTACACTGGAGCAATTGACCTTCAGTAACACTCAGTGGAAGATGCTAGGAAGCTTTTCAGGGTGGATGATGTCGATGTTTGGGCCTGGGGACTGGCCTCTTAAGCTTGAGCACTGCCACAAAGTGGAGGTCAGGTGCCCGGAGCATCACAGCAAGGGTTCTGACAGAGCGGGGAGGAGGCAAAAAAAGCACAGATGGGTGAGTATAACTTGCTGTGGGGTGGGGAGCTATTAGCACACAATGTCACTTTTCTGGTGTCATAGCTGATCACATGTGCACCATGGCATCTGAAGATCTAAATAATGGCTAAGATAGCACCGTCCTTGGCAGATAGGAGGGTTTAGCTCTGCTTTAAAGTATATATACCCATGCATTTCAAATTACCCCTATCCTTCACTGCATGCCATCTAATGAGAAGACAATCTAATTGACAGTCCAAATTTTGAATGTAATAAAACTTGAAATCTGTAGTGTCCACTTTGCACCAGTGCTCAGCAATGACTTGCACAATCATTACTGAATCTCAAGTTCACTTAGAAAACACATCTACAGTAATACCTTGGTTTACGAGCATAATTCGTTCCAGAAGCATGCTTGTAATCCAAAGCGCTTGTATATCAAAGCGAATTTCCCCATAGGGAATAATGGAAACTCCGATGATTCGTTCCACAACCCAAAAATATTCATTTAAAACTCATTACAATACTGTACTGTAATATAATAGTGTACAAAATATAAAGAAAAATAAACCAATTACCGGTACCTTCGTGACTGGTGTGAGGGGGACAAGAGAGAGGAGGATTATTGTGTAGGGCGATTTTCACTATCACTAATGGAATCACTGCTATCTCTTGACTCAATGGAATCTTTTTCATTTCGTGAAACCTTAACAAGGAATCTATCCAATGTGACATTGCATTGTCGTTAAACAGTCTCATCGCTCGCACTTCTACAGCCTTATTCGGAGGTGCTTTTCTACAAAATGTTGCTCTTATTGCAAGACATTGCTTGTATATCAAGGCAACATTTTTCAGAAATGTTTGCTTGTCTTGCAAAACACTCTCAAACCAAGTTACCTGTAAACCAAGGTATTACTGTACTTTGAACAAGCCTGATTACAGTAGCTGAAATGAGATAGTACCCTATGTGTCAGTTTTGATAGGCTACTTGTTTCTCTTCAAACACATCTGCTCCCATTGTAATTCGGTGACACTAGTGTGATGATTTTATGTAGAATAGATCAGGGTCCTTTTATTGGAAAGCCTCTTTTTTTAACTTACCGACCATCAGTGCTACTTTTACATTTTGCCTTTACACAACAGTCTCAGCAGGCAGGGAGCAATCATTTATTTTTCCATTTAAGTATGCCTCATTTTAGAATGTGTCTCTTGTGCATATTAAACAGTTCTATTTTTACCCTGATTAATATAGATAATCCCAGTCGCCAACTTCCGCTAGACCTCTGCAGCTAGCAAGTGTGGATGTGGCTTCATTACCCCTACCCAGCTCTTAGCAGCAGTGTATAAACACTTCAATTACACCAAGTCAGGCTTGTGAAAATAGAAACAGGCATCACGCTGTGCTATCCAGCTGATGTTTTTTATGTATAGATTACTTTATTGTAATTTATTATTTTCAAATTACAAAACAGCCTTTTAGTGATTATAATAGCTGTAACAGAGTTGACAAAGCAAAGCTGTCAAATATTTAACGGTTAAACCAAGCACTGGGAATTTACTGCATGTACCTTCGTTTTGTTTC